CTACACGAAACCCCTCTTGTCACCGAGATCTCCATCGTCGAAGCCAAACACGCCTCTTCTTCTCGGATTGTCCTAAGATCCCTAATCTTCATCGAGATGCTTCCGATGTACCCCACGAACTCAGCCCACGCGCTTATTCCCTGCAACCAACGTGCGTGTCTCGCATCGATCAACCCGGATTTCGACAACCAGATGAACTGCTCGACAAAGTAGTACAATCCTTCGCCTCCGTACGCGACGATCGAGAACAGGACCTCGTGATTTGAGTCCCATCGCGAGCTCCTAAGCGCGTTCACGTCCTGCACGAATTTGCCGAGTCGAAACGCTTTCCGACTCAATCCAACGCTCGACTCGAAGCTCTTGAGCCGGCGATTTAGGGTTACGTTCTCGGAGAGGACGGAGGATGCGAGGATGATTTTGGAGGCGTAGCGAGAGATCTTCAGAAGCTTGTCAACACCGTCTCTCTTTGCGAGGTATGTTTCAAGATGATTCAGAAAGTCTCTGTCTCTTTCATTGGGCTTCGTGCTCTTTTCTGAGCCCTTCGAATTCGCGTCCATGGCGACGGCTTTGGCCATTGGGGGAGAGAGAGTAGATATTTTCGTCCTTCCTCCTCTTTTCAGACGTGAGAAATCGAAACGCAGCGTTTTTGTAATTCTTGTTTTGCGTGCCTGAGTTTAGTTTAGATGATATGACGTCATATCATTTAATGGGTATTATTTTATTAGTGGGCCCAATGATACTAATGGGCCCTGTTGCTATAAGAAGGCCCAATGTTTATAACAAAAAATGTATATATTTATCTAAGGAAAAATTCTAAATAAATATTTTGCTAATTTTTTATTGATCTCCTAAAAAAATACATTAATTCATAATTTTCTTTCAAATTATTATACATACACTAATACCGTTAATTCTATAACAGTTTTCGATGAACGATATTGACAGACTCACCAAATATTTCACGTCAACACCATATGTCAAAATTTTTCTATGTCATTAAAAAATATAAACAAAATTAAAATTAATTTCAATAAAAATAAATTTTAAAATTTTTAAAAATTTAAAATTTAAAATTAAAAAAATTAAAATTTTAAAAACATTAAAAAAAATAAACAAAAATTAAAAATTAAACAATTAAATAATTTTAAATTTCAAAATTTACATTTTTAAAAATTTTAAAAATAATTAAAATTTTATTTTTATTTAGGTTAATTTGAAATTTGTTTTTTATTTTTTTAATGATATGGAAAAGTTTTGACATGTGGTGCTGACGTGAAAAATCCGGTAAGCCACGTCAAAACCGTTTACCAGAAACTATTATAAAGTTAACGGTGTTAGTATCCGTACGTTAATTTGGAAAAAATTATGAATTGATGTATTTTTTTTAAGATAAAAAATTTATATATTTATCAGTAAGAATTTAGTAAATTCATATATTTATTTAGAATTTTTTCTTATTATAATTAACTAGCATACAAAAAATAAATAGAAAATTGTATAATAATGTACGAATTAACTAGCATACAAAAAATAAATGGAAAATTGAATAATAATATACGAAGTAAAGATAGAGATGTCAAACGAGCCAGTTCGGACCAGATCAGACCACCTCGTTCTGACTTCCGAGCCAACACATTTTTAGCCCAGTTTGTTAAGCCTATTTTTATTCGAGCCAGAAAATTTCGGCCTCAACCCAAGTCTCTTAGCTCGTGAGTCGGCTCGCGAGCTGGTTCATATTTTTTCTAAATACCTAAAAAATCATATCAAATTACACAAAACTATATCCAAATGATACATAAAAAAAACATATCAATACATCCAAATCATATTTATATTCACAATCACAATTCATGTACAAAAAATCATCTTCAAATAGATCAAATCACAATCCATCCATTTACAAAAAACCATTTTGAGATCATAATCCATCTATGTACATTCGGATCTTAATCCATGTACAATAAACCATTTTCAGATCTTAATCTATATATAAAAAATTTATATCCACATCAAAATATCATACCAAGCAATATCAACACTTCAAAGTTTCAACGTAAAAAATCATTTTTTTACTCTAGCTCGCGAGCCGACCTAGTTAGCTCGTTTGGGCTCGGCTCGTGGCGAACTGGCTCGCTCAGTCTATTTTTTATTTGGGTTCAGATATTCTTGACTCAGTTTGGTAAAAATGAGCTAACCTCGAGCTGGCTCGCGAGCTCGGTTCGTTTTAAAGATAATAAGCAAATATTCATTAATAAAAGGATAATCGTCGAAAAATACCTGTATTTTTTTATGTTCTCAATTTAATATCTGTACTTTTTTTAGCTAAAAAACACATGTATAATTGGTTTATCCCAAAACAAATTTTATATTTTAAATTATTCGCCAAAAAAATCTTACCGTTAAATAATTGCCACGTAGACAAATGGAAATGCAGTAAAAAATTTCAATATCTCTCCTAGTCACCGCCACGTAAAAATAAAATTAAAAATTAATAAATAATAAATAAATTAATAAAAATAAAAATTAATAAAAATTAAATAATAAAAATATACACATACATATATATATATATACATATATACATACATATACATACATATATATACATATATATACATATGTATATACACATATATTAAAAGTTTTCTGAATCAAAGAGAAAGACAAGTAAAAGAGTGCTCTTCTGTATATTGATAATCAGACTATGAGAGGGTTAATATACAGAGTATTCTAACGTCTATAGCATGTATAAAAGGGAAAGCAATCAACAGACATATATTACAGAATATATAAATAGGCTATATATATGTATTATTTCCCTCTTTATGATGCGGAGATTGTGGTGTAATGAAATTCTCTTCTTCTATTACGCATTGCTGGAGTTTCCATCTTCACATGGCGTATGCGAAGAATTTCTTGGGAATCCTACAAGACCCATTCGTTCTTTTTTCTCTGACAGATGGTCAGAACTTCATCTGGGTTCGAATCCTACTGAGAAGTCTACTAGGGATCAGAAATTGTTGAAGAAAGAACAAGATGTTTCTTTTGTCCCTTCCAGGCGATCGGAAAATAAAGAAATAGTTAATATATTCAAGATAATTACGTATTTACAAAATACCGTCTCAATTCATCCTATTTCATCAGATCTGGGATGTGATATGGTTCCGAAGGATGAACTGGATATGGACAGTTCCAATAAGATTTCATTCTTGAACAAAAATCCATTTTTTGATTTATTTCATCTATTCCATGAACGAAAGAGGGGGGATACACGTTACGCTACGATTTTGAGTCAAAAGAGAGATTTCAAGAAATGACAGATCTATTCACTCTATCAATAACCGAGCCGGATCTGGTGTATCATAAGGGATTTGCTTTTTCTATTGATTCCTACGGATTGGATCAAAGACAATTCTTGAAGGAGGTTTTCAACTCCAGGGATGAATCGAAAAAGAAATCTTTATTGGTTCTACCTCCTATGTTTTATGAAGAAAATGAATCTTTTTATCGAAAGATCAGAAAAAAATGGGTCCGGATCTCCTGCGGGAATGATTTGGAAGATCCAAAACCAAAAAGAGTGGTATTTGCTAGCAACAACATAATGGAGGCAGTCAATCAATATAGATTGATCCGAAATCAGATTCAAATCCAATTCCAATATAGTACCTATGGGTATGGGTACATAAGAAATGTATTGAATCGTTTCTTTTTAATGAAGAGACCTGATTGCAATTTTTGAGTCATACCAGCAATACTTAGCCACAAGACGGGCTTTGTAGCGATCGATGGTACCATCACTTCGGCGCTTAATCTTGAATACCCATTTGCTACGGACTGCTTGTTTATGTGGGGGAAGATCAGTGATGTCCCATGTGCCATTGCGTTCTAGGGCTGCTAACTCGTCCCTCATAGCATCACGCCAAACCTTGTGTGCCTTTGCTTGAGTATAACATGTTGGTTCTATATCCTGGTCGATCTGACTAAAAAACAACAACTCGTGAGAAGGCAAATGAGCAATAGAATGGCAAGACTCAATAGGATAAGTTACCACTTTTGCAGAACCGATAGGCAGAGAAACAGAAATCTGTTTATTTGTTTCAAGAGCAACAGAGGCAGAATCATTGGGGTCAGCAAGGCGATGATAAGACTGAGTAATTCCCTGAGCTTGGCGGCGTAAAGCTTTCATGTAGAGGCGTTCACTGCGACGAGGTGCAGGAGCATCATGTTCAGGGGCAGGTTCTGGAGGGGCCGGTGCTGGAAAAACAGGGGCAGGTTCGGTGTATCTGAGGTCTCCATGTGGTGATGCAGTGTCAGCAGAACCTACATGAGAGTGGTTAGAGGTATCAGAAAAAGGTTCAGTAGAATCACTTACCTCAGCCTCCGAATGTTGCAGATCAGGAGGGGCTGGAGCAGCTGACGCTTGTAGGGGCGAGTCTCTTGAACGCAAAGCATCAGTAAGGAGTTGCATCACCGTCTGATTATAAGTAGGTGTGGATGAGGTGTGAGGGTCTTCGAACCGAGACCAATCCTTAGATTTGAAGTAACAATGATCTTCAAGAAATCGTACATCCCGAGAGATATATGTGCGTTGAGTAGGAGGATGAAAACATTTGTAGCCCTTCTGGTTTGGCGGATATCCAAGAAACACACATTTTACAGCCTTGGGATCTAATTTATTGCGTTGTTCAGCTGGAACAAGAGGAAAACAGACGCAGCCGAAAACCCGTAAATGTTCAAGATCTGGTTTATGTCCATGAAGTACCTCGTAGGGAGAGAGATCATGAAGAATTTTTGTAGGTAGGCGATTGATTGTATAGCAGGCGAAACCAACTGCATCACTCCAGTATGGTTGCGGAATAGATTTGGAAAACATGATAGTCCTTGCGACTTCGAGCAAATGGCGATTCTTTCTTTCGGCAACGCCGTTTTGTTGTGGCGTGTATGGACATGTCATTTGGTGTAGAATGCCATTGGAAGCTGTGAATGCGCGAAATTTGGAGCTGGTGTATTCACCCCCGTTGTCAGATCGAAGCCTCTTGATTCTTGCATTGAATTGGGTAGTGACATATGTATAAAACTGCTTAAACACATCAAAGACATCAGCTTTTGAAACAAGAAAATATATCCAAGTGTACTTCGATTTGTCATCAATGAAAGTAACAAAATATTTATACTTATCATGAGAATGACAGGGAGATGTCCAAACATCTGAATGGATTAAATCGAAACAGGAATCATAAGTTGTATCAGACGTCGGAAAAACAGTATGGCAAGAATGCAAGGTTCACATGTTTTATTATCGAAACGAGAGTTTGGGATGAGTAAATGCAACACTTTGGAATGACAATGTCCTAATCGAGCATGCCAAAGAGAGGAAGAAACTGTCTCAGAACTTGAAAAAACAGAATCTGAAGAAACAAGACAGGAAACTGGTAAAGGAGAATCAGAAACTAAGGAGGTCTCGGCAAGCACATAGAGATTATCCCTCTTGACGCCTCTGCCCAGAACAATTCCACTTTTAGTATCCTGAAACAGAACTTCATCAGTTTTGAATATGACAGAACAGGTAGGAAAATCAGTAGTGAGTTTAGAGATGGAGAGAAGATTAATATGGAAATCGGGAACATGATAGGCGTCAACATCTTTATGAAAC